AGGGCAAACATCGGCCCCCCTGTTCACAGGGTTCGCTTAGGTGGTTGAGTGCTTCGTCAGAAGAACAACATACCATCTTATCATGTTATTTTATTTATTGTATATATTGTATATAGCACCTTTTTATTGTATTTAAGGAGACATTCTCAATAAATGCTTTGAAACTTGAAACTTGCTCTCGTCTAGTAACACGAAGGTAGCCGGTTCGAGTCGTGCCGCAGACACAACTTTTTTATTTAATAAATAAATTATTTTGACCTTGAAGCCCTGAGCCGCACTCGGCCCGCTATAGATGGCAGCAAAAATTTTGTTCGCTTTTTTATTACATTGACTGATCGTTCTGTAGTTATTCTGTGGTCAAGCTTAATAGTTGACTGCTAGGACTAGACACTTCTGTTATTCCCGGGCCGGTTTCCACTTCCCCATCCACCCCTGGACAATTCTATTATATTTTATATTATTTCAAAAACAAAAACATAGGTAATGGTACAGCGCAATTTTGATATGCAGGTTCAAAACAAAAAGTGCTGTTATATTTCGTCGCATGGCAATTTTTTTTGTAAGGTTGAGAACCAACCTCAAAGAATTGAACCAGGTTCCGCCACTGTTATGAACCTATTTAAAGTTTAAGATTTCTAAAGTAGTGTTTGTTTACTAAATTTGTTTCATTTGGTTTGGTTAGGCCAGACTTACATACAAAGATCTTACATAAATGGTTTTAATAGACCTTGTTAAACCCCAGCAAGAATTTTATGTTTCCGCTATACGTTAATTTCTTTAGTTGTTAATTTAATTTAGTTTTTGACACATGCTTTTTCTAGATTATGACACAAATTAACATAATATATAATATGTTAATTTAATTACATTACGGTTAATCCCGTTTATACTTTTCCAAATTTCCATACCGTTTTCGAGAAAATTAAAAAAACATGAAAATATGTTTGTTTTTTTTTGTATTTTAAATAAAGTTTGTGTTTTTTTAACATTTTAAAACAGCAAAAACTATGACGTCAATTAAAATTCTATCAATAATAATCAGTCAAAAAATGAAATCGAAATGATATTACCATTTACCATAGAAAAGCCTTTTGATTTTTAGAATTAAAATTCAACAATATTTTCAAGTTTCTTTTTAATTTTCTCTAAAATTTGGAAAAGTATAAACGGGATTAACCATTTTAGAACCATCAAAATTTTTATGAAGAATGTATTTTTCTCAAAATGTCAATAATAAAAAAGTTTTTCCTCTTTTAAAAACAATCGGCGGACATACTGTATAGTTTTGTTATATGTTAATTAACATAATATTATGTTAATTTGTGATTATGATATAGGAATTGCGTTTTTTCGAAAATATAAACGTTTATACATGATAATACTGTGAAAATTTTTCTACCAAATCCCGATGCAATAAATAGTGAACTTTTGCGCATATCAACATTCAAAAATAGACTTTTATAAATAAACAAAAAGAAAGTTTCGATGGAGAATTCGACTTAAAGCAACGAGACCGATTTAGCACGTTTACTTTAATTAAGTCACGAGACTATAACACCAGTGAATGAAGTATTTTGAAATCAGAAACTGTTATTTACAAACCGCAACTATTATTATTATTTATACAGGCTGAGTTTTAAATAACTGCAAATATTTTCAGGGCTGGTAGATCTCGATAAAGGAAACATTTTTTTCTCTTTACCGTTTTTCAAAGTCCAAAATAACCTTTTCTGGATTTTCTTTCTTGTAAATATAATCTACTATCTATGTTGTCATATTATCAAGAAATTATGTTTTTTTTAACTAAAAACTAAAAAAAAATCCAAATCTTCAAAAAAAATGTTTCATAAAATACGAAAAAAACTCATAATCGTGTTTTTGGGGTCGAAATATACTACCTCTAAAAGTATTTGCATTTATTTAAGATTCACCCTGTATATTTACAGAAGTCTCCCGTTTTAGGCGGGGGTTACAATAATACTTTCAGCCTTTTAAAAAAAACTATTAAAAATACATATCCCGAAATCAAAACTATACTAAGTATTTATACTACCGTATGATCGAATAAAAACGGCGTCAGCGATGGCTATGAAATGAAGATCGCTGTCATTTCATAATATGTAAAATTATATGGGAAATGTCATCGATCGTCATTTCCAAGCCAACTGAACGCCATTTTTCTTCGATCATACGGTACTATAGTTGGTTATAAATATCGTAATAATAAACCATAAAGGGTGTTCAAAAATCTATGCCAAACTTTCTAAAATATAAATAATTTTTCTTCGTTTTTTTTAGGGTTCCGTACCCAAAGCGTAAAAACGGGAACCCTATTACTAAGACTTCGCTGTCCGTCCGTCCGTCTGTCACAAAGGTCTATCTTATGAACCGTTATACCTAGACAGTTGAAATTTTTACAGATAATGTATCTATGTTGCCGCTATAAGAACAAATACTAAAAACAGAATTAAATAAATGTTTATAGATAAAAAAGTACTTTCACTAAACATTATCTTTTAAGTAAGAATTTTACATAGAATCTTTCAAGTCCTCGGTGGCCGCATGGTTAAAGCGTTAGGACTAGAGATGGGCAAAAGTAACCGGTTTTTTGAATAACCGGTATTTTCCTCTAAAATAACCGGTTATTTAAAGGTAGTTTTTTTTCACCAGTTAACCTAATAACCTTGCATTACGTTCAATAACCTATAGCCGGTTATTTTTTAAAAAATCGTACTTGTTTAAAACTAGTAACAATTAAATATTAGCTGTTTGAATCGTAAATTTCGAAGAAGCGAACGGCACGGATCTTCCAGATATTACGACGATAACGGGAGATCCCGCTCCCGCTCCCAAAACGAAAATATATGACATCAAACATCAAATGTCAAAATTAAATCAGGCATCAGGCGAACCCTGATGATAATAATCAGAACAACGGCCAAATGGCCCTGACAGGTCAGGCCGTAAAACAAAGTACTAATGGCATAGACTACTACTAGCCACCAGCTAGCCAAGTGATACGAACCTAACTTCAAATAGATTCTCTAAATTCTATATTTAAATTTTAACCGACTTTAACGGATTTTCAACGGTTCTTCAAAAGTCTTCCATGGTTTCGCCCAGTTTCACCCACGTTTCACCGTAAATATATTTTATTTGTAGTTTGAAGTCTCTCTTGAAGCTTAGACTAAAGAATACAAAATTGAAGTTCAAGTAATGAATGAAGATAATCTTTCATTATCTATTCATTCAGTCTCCTTATTTTTCTTTGGTATTTGATTAAAATAACTTGGTTGTAGATTGTAGAACTTGTGAGTTGTGTGGTTTATTTGAACGTTAAGTAATTACTAGTTTTAATATCATATCCATGTCTACTCACAAAAGTGACGTTAGCATTTTTATTTAAATTCATTTTGTACATATACATACTTACATTGCTACAGCATCTATTTAATCGTGCGATTTAACTAAGTTTATTATCTAAATTTGAAGTAAACCTATGGAGTGTAGAGGTATAGAAACCTATAGAAAAACTAAATATTTAGTTTTGCTAGGTTAGGTTATTTGAATAACCGGTTAAGTTGTGTCGGTTAATTTTGTCAAGTTATTATTTTTTAAAGATAATTCCGGTTAACCTATAACCGGTTTTTTACCAATAACCGCCCATCTCTAGTCGAAGTGCCACTCGGCCAGCGAATTGATTTGGAATGTAGCTTTAGGACTTTACGCTGCTATGACGTTGGAGCCAGTGGCGTAACAACAGACTCACGGGCATACTCACGGGCCTGTGTGCAAAAATTTTACCGGGCCCCCTATTACACCTACATATTTCAATACTTACATATACTAATCTGAATAATATGCACTCATATTTTAGGTTAGAAATAACATTATCAAATAAATTTTTATATAATGCTATTTATTGTTGCAACACAGAATATGTAATCCAAAACATATAAAATATTAAATAAATAAAAAAATAATACAAACAAAACAAAAAAGAACAACAAAACTAACTAAATTAAAATAAACAATGTAAATAGGAGCATAAACATTTCCTTGCTTTAGCATGGGCGAAAGTTGACACTATACAATATTACCAATGTCTATTGTACGAGCAACTTCATTTTCTATTGAAATAATTGCCAAAGCTGATAACCGTTTTTCGCCCATAGTATTTCTTCAATAATTTTTGACAAGCTTTAATTTGGAAAAAGATCTTTCAGCCGAGGCCATATAGAAACAGGTATGGTGAGAAAAATATGACACGTTGTTAAAATCTCGCTGAAACTAGAAGACAATGAAATGTTTTTAATTAAAATAAATTCAGTGAGTTCAAAAATGCAATTGATTTCATATAAATTATTTCGGAAACATTGCCTGAAGGAGAGTAATTGAGAAGAAATCGTATAGGCAATATCATCGGGGTATTAAAGGTATAGAACCTGACCCATTATTTCATATATATATATATATATATATATATATATATATATATATATATATATATATATATATATATATATATATATATATATATATATATATATATATATATATTATAATAAAGTTTATAATAATATAGTGTCTAATGTTGTATAGATAATGAATGGTACGGAACCCTTCGTGCGCGAGTCCCACTCGCACTTGACCATTTTTTTTAAATGGAACCGCTAAAAATTTTAAAACGCTTTAAATTTAAAACTATATAGCTTTTTATACCGACAGACTTAATTTACGAACATGCCTTTCTTACGAACGCTTACATCTTCATACTGATGTCACCCGACAAGATGAGTTTGGTATTCAGTTTCCAAATTTGATTTATCACACAAATATTAAAGAAATTTTAGGGATGATCTCTTAACAATAATTATTGTTAAATGTTCCTAACAAGAAAACTGACTGAATATAGCGCCATATAATTTTCAGTAGTTTTATTTGAATTTCTCCTTTTTTACCTAAATTTACACCACTTGACCCTATTGTGTTCTTTACAGGACTGCCCAATAGGCCGAGAAAAATAAACAAAGCCACGGTAAAGAAGTCTGCACCGAAGTTTCTGTTGGACATCTACCAGTCCCTTTTAGATGAAGACGAGGACGACGATGAGCATACCAGGAGGAAAAGAAGCGCCGAGTTGGGATTTAGCGGCGAGGAGCAACAGAAAATCGACCAGAGCGATGTCATTATGACATTAGAAAGCATAAGTAAGTAAATATTAAATAGCTTCTACACTATGCAGAGAACTCTTCGAAACAGGCCAAGGTTGCGTTTCGTCGCCCAACTTTGTCGCATTTTGATTTATTTCCAGTTTTCTTGACCCACCTCGGTTTGCCTCGACCTACCTTCGATTCTTAAAAGCGCCTGAAAACTACTCGTGAGGAGGGCGTGAGGGGATATTTTTTGGCGTTTCCTGGTTGCCTCATTTAATTTTGTTTCGTGTTAGGCTATTTCCAAAACGTGGCTGTATCTGTACCCGAGGCAAAGGATTTTTTTTCATAAATCTCAGTGAAATAAGTAAACCTAGACGTTTCTAAAATAGCTGTTGTTACGATGATATTTCGTTAATTACATCTCGTAATGTACTCGCTTTATGTTGATATATATATTCCACATGGTATATTGTATGTATAAAATCCTTAAGTGACTGACATACTGATTAATCACGATCCTGCTCAAACTACTTAACGTAAGAAGCTCAATTTTGGCATACAGGTTGATTCTAGGGTGTAGAGGTTCGATAAGAAGGGGTTTTTTGAAACTCGAATTCTAATCGAAGCTTTTATTTCTGAAGTTTACTATTCCTCTTCTAAAGTTTGATTATTAACTGTTTTTCGTAAAATAATTAAGATAAAGGATAAAGTGTTTGTTTACTTTTTTGAAAGAGGTTTAAGATTTGTTTTTTTGTTCTTATAGAAGTTTTTATTTTTTTAATCTAAATTTTTATCACAATAATGTGTTCTATAATTAATATATAATAAATACTTTTTTGTTTAATTTACCTAATATTGTTTTTACATTCTGTATTTTTCTTTCAAGTTCATATTCGCAAAATATTCAAAGATATTTGCGAATGCGAATGCGAATATCATAAATCAAACGAATATTCGCGAATGCGAATATTCGTTACATCACTAGGTTTGGTTTGGATTTTTCGAAACTCGAATTCTAAGGGGGTGAAACTATCCCTCAAATATTAAAATATTTTTTATTTAAAAACCGGTGAGTTTTTCGGAAAAACTCTTAAACACGTATATTTTATTTTGTTGTTTTACATATTTTAAGAATTTTAAAATATAATAATATAATTTATACAGAGTCTTTCATAAAATATGACCATTGAGTAATCACGATTCTGCTTAAACTGCTTGACGTTTAAAGCTGATTTTTGGCAAACGGATTGACTGTGGGGTGTAGAGGTTCGATAAGAAGGGGTTTCTCGAATCTCAAATTCCAAGAGGGTGAAAACGTCCTTCAAATATTACAATATTTGTTATTTAAAAAACGGTTAGTCTTTCGGGAAAACGCTTGGACAAGCATAATTTATTTGGTTTTTTACATATTTTGAAATTTTTTAAAAAATCATACAGGGTGTTCCAAAAAGTTGGGTAATTTCTTAACCACGATTCTGCTTAAACGGCTTGACGTAAAAAGCTTATTTTTGGCAAACGGATTTTTCGAAAGTCAAATTCCAACAAGATGAAACTACCCCTCAAATATTACCAAGTTATATAATAATATGGCCATATTGCTTTTTTCTCATGCTGACATAAATGTGAGAAAATTTTATCCAGTTTGTATGTTAATGGAAATTCTTGCTTTGCTTTATCATCACCATTAAAAATGATTAATTCGACGCGAACGAAGTCGCTGGTACACGCTAGTTATTAAATAAAATATTAAGGATTGTACGATTTTATTTTAATTTAGAGTCATAACTTTCAGTTGTTCAATAATGTTAAATTTAAATTTTAAATTAATAAAACAATTTTCTTTAAAACAAGGGTTTTTATTTCTATCACGATACATTATTACATGTATTATGGCCTCTAAAAAAAAGTAGGAAGTTGGGAAAATTGCTTGTCCTCCCCCCAAAAAAAGTTCTAGCGTCACCACTGTTTACGCGGCCTTAATTGATTAATATATCAGTAATATTTTTGTTCAGAGGTTGTTTTTTTAACATTTCTTGGGCTTTATTTATGCATATGCAGTCCGATATCAAACCTTATCTTGGACCATCTGCAAATCGCAGGTGGTTCAAGTTTTCGGCTTTTATATTTATACCTAATTCGTTGCATTTAATCTCTGTTTGCACCTCAATTTGCACATATATCGGAGATCGGAGCAAATACTGAATAATTTTGAAGAGATGGTGTCGCCTTGGTAAACGCCTTTTTCTATGTGGAGATTTGTTAGTATCTTCATGAATCCTAACACAAGTAGCAGCGTTATCAAATATGTGTTAGGTAATATGTGTTATAATTGTGAATTAGGTACAATTATTACAAAAAATTAGCATGCACCATTTATTGATTTTCTTTCAGATCATCATGTGGACAGTGTCAGACACGAGAGAGGCAAAAGACTGTGGTTTGACGTTTCTGAACTTCCGGTCGCAGAAGACATTGTCGGCGCCGAACTCAGAATCTACCAGAACCAATCCCTTTCAAGACATAGAGGCGGAAATTACACAGTTACAGCTTACCAACTTACTGACAGTACTGAAGGGTATGTATGAAATGTATTTATTTACTCATTACAGATTTTTGCCATCGAAACCAAGGAAACTAGTAGCTTTACTCCTTGTCAAATCTTTTGTTCTTTTTCATTTTATATGACCGTGTTGTCGCGTCCCGTGACCACTGACGTAGCTGTATAGTCGTAGTCTATAACTAGGCAAAGTATAGTCGTGGCACTCTCCATAGTTTCACAGAGATGTATTTAGGAAAACATGAGTTCACAATAAAATAAATTGATCGTCGAGTAAACATTTGCTTGAAAACAGAATATTTCCACATTTCGTGTAATTAACAATCGTTCTTCTGTATCTGAAAATCTTCTGATGGGAAGAAATGCGGAAAAAATATATAATGGCATATATTATTATCTATTTCAAAGATTTTCTACAACTTTTTTTTAATTTAAAACAAGTTTAATTTTAACATTAATGTGTTTGTTTTGTAGTAATATATTGGTTAGGTGATTTTCATTGGATAACTAATACATTGAACACAACACATTGTGCTAAATAATAAAATAACACTTCAATAATTGCTAATAAACGTTACAAAAATTTCAAAAGCGAAAAGAAGCAAGAACAATGAGAAATAGCATCATTACTTTCTCACGTAATAAAAAAATATTTTTTTAGTTATAGTTACCGGGTCCCGAAGGTACCGAAAGAACCGGGAATTCATAATTTCGAGTCCCGGTTCTTTGATATCTCAAAAGAACCGGGAATTTCCGGTTCTGAACCCTAGTTACCATATTATCAAGAAATAATGTTTTTTAACTATAAACTAAAAAAATTGCGCAGAAAAATCCTCATATTTCTGGAGCTAAAATATACTACCCCTAAAAATATTTGCACTCATTTAAGACTCACCCTGTATAGGGCGATTCACGGTTATGGTACGTTATAGCGTTTCCGTAACCGGAACTGTTTTTCGGAAGCGGTAATTTCGGTACCATGTCTCTAAGGAATCGGGATTTCCATTTTTTTTTCGGTACTTTCGGTACTAGCAAATTTTTGTTCAATGATGGTGCAGTTCGTTAAACAGCAAGCAAGAGATGGTTGTCAAAAGTAAAATCGATAAAAAATTGAGGTTTAAATGAAAATAACATCAAATTATTAAGTAGTAATCAGTCATGAGGAAATTAACCTGAACACAAACATTATCTCAAATGACTCTCCAGAAAAACTCAAAGCAATTTTTTTTGAATTATTACTACATCTAATAGCAACACACAGTAAGGCACTCATTTTGTGTCAATGTGCTGGGACGCCGTCTCTGTGCTGGGACGCAACGCTCGAACCTCGCAGGTCAATAGACGAAACTCAACTGAAACGCTCTGCAATCTGCCGATATTCGACAGATTGTAAAAACTGGCACAGAATATTTGGGAGAGTGCAACTACTCTTTTCCTTCTACTATGTCGAAACTCTCCCAGAAATATTTGGTTTGGTTTGGTTTGATTTTTTTTAAATGAGCAAGTATAAGAACTTATGTATGAGCCAGCCAGCTAGGATGGGACACTTCACTGGTTAGTCCCACCGTGGTTACCCCCATATTTATTTCAACTCCACTAAGTAATTTGGTTTTGTTTATTTTCAGAGAGAACGAATTGGAATACATATCAGAAGTAGAAACTTCGTTTGATTTCACAGGCTGGTTAGGGGTCAACGTTACCAGATGTTTGGCTAGTTGGGTGGCTTTTCCGAACTCAAATCGAGGAATTTATTTGTCAGTACATCAAGCAGATAAAAGTGAGTTGAAAAAAATTTTCATTAGAAACATAACATACCGGGTGACTCTCAAAAGTTGCTCACCTAAGGCTCACCCCTTTTTTAATTTATCTGATAAAAAACGAGATTTGGTCTGTTAGTATATGGCATAAATTAGGATTTATTGACGTATTCAATTGTTTTCGGTCACTTCCTGTTTCACCGGAAATGGCTACAACTTTTGATTTTTAAATGGCACCCTCCGTATTTTTTTACTTTATTCGATAGAAAATGACACTCTGAATCGAATGACATATCATATGTCAACTTATTTTGACATATTCGCTCGAAACAAATTGTATTTTAAATTTTAAACTAGAGTGCCATGGCTGTGTTAAAAACACTAATTTTTAAGTAAGGAGCCTTGGAAAAATAGATTTGATCGTCTAATGTTTTTAGTGTCTTGTCCTGGCCGGTTAAAAGATGCTCAAATCGTATTTTTAATCATATCTCAATTTTTTTAAATGGAACGAGTGTGACTCATTAGCATATTTGGAAAAAGCATTTTTTTACGAATAATTTGATACCATACACTTGGTATTTCGAGTCAAATTGTCGTTATGAACCGCATGTTACAATTTTAAATAAACCATAAGCGGAAATGTCAAAAGTTGGCATATGATATGTCATTCTATTCACAGTGTCATTTTCTATCGAATAAAGTAAAAAATACGGAGAGTTCCATTTAAAAACTAAAAGTTGTAGTCATTTCCGGTGAAACCGGAAGTGACCGAAAACAATTAAATATGTCAATCAATCCTAATTTATGTCATATACTAACATATCAAATCTCGTTGTTTTATCTGAAAACATATAGAAGTTATAGGGGTGAGCCACTTTTGAGACGCACCCGTTATCCACAGGCGTCCCACCGGAAATTACTTGAAATTAAGCAATTTTGAGAATAATTTAAGAAACGTAGTTTTTAGTTGAACACCCTGTATACCATTAAGCGTTTACAATAATATATTAAACATTATTTAATGATAAAACAAATGTGAAGTTGTAGAAAACACCTGGATTTACATAATTTAGTGCTTATTGGTATTTGTGAAGTCATCTTAATTAAAATACTGTCGAATTCAGGTGTTCGTTATTATTGTTTATATCAAGAAATACACCTGCAGAGAGAATATCGAAAATTAATATTATTTCATTTGATTAGCATATTATTACAAATTCATATTTTTGCAAAAATATAAAGTTTGGCCATTTCACTAGTAAAAGTAGCAAAATAAGTGTTCGGCATTTAACTTTTTATGTAAAACTGGCTAGGTATTTTTATACAAATGAAAAAGGAAATTAAAGATAAAGGATTATACGTTATCCGTATTGTAGCACATTTTTACACAACTTCTTTATTTTTAAGATTTTGATGGTCAAACATCAGCAAAATATTCCTTATGTTTGGACTAAATTTTCTCAAAAATAAAGACATAATTTAAAATTCCGTTACAATACGGAAATGGATTGAAGTTTTGTGATTACAGCGATATATAATTTATATGGTTTTGTAACAAATTGCTCGCCAGGTTATTTCAAATGCTTAACTTAATCAAGCCTTAATCAAAGCACGTGTTTTTAGAATTTTGTGTATGGCTCATAGACTTAAAATAAAACATAGACTACACTATTTACATCTCAACGCGGACAAACAATCTTTTTTGTACACATGTTTACTTCTGGGTACAGTCGACCGAGCCTTCCTCATCCAGCCTATGTTGTCACGTCTTTAATATTATCAATATTTTTTTTCTTGTTATACACATATATTGAGATGTTAATACTACATTTTAATAAAGTAGGTTTTAATATTCCATAGATGTATTAAATAGTCCTTATACTACTAAATTATAAATCGGATACTGTTTAAAAAGGATAAGTTCTTTACAATATGACAACACCGATTAGAGGCGAGGGAGCCTATTCATTCATATTACCTTGTAGTACGCGTCGCACGTGTCCGGTAAAGCTTTGTTGCCGCTATGTCCCCGGCTGTATTAACGCATTTTCTTAGCTTGTAGTCCTTAAGTGTTTATTTTATTTTCTTTTTCTGTTCAAGAACTATAAAATATGGTTCGCCAGTGCCAAATTTGTAAGAAATTTGACTTAAATAATCCATTTAAGTCTTGAAACGACTTTCGACCGGTAGGCAACTCTCAATTTACCTATTGGGTCAGTGGCGTTGTTGTAGAAAGGCGCTTATTTAGATAATATTTTAGTAAAATGTAAAATCTGAATGTTTTCTCTTACATTACATTATTTACTTACTTACATTGTAACAAAATCATAATAATTATGATTATAACCCTGTTAATAATTAATAATGTTTTTATTAAAAATATATTCCGGTTTATTCTAAAATTACCTTCAGAATCTAAAACAATATACAAGAATTTGAAAATGATATTACATTATGAAACAATATTTTTTAATATACCGGGTCGTCTCAAAAGTGGCTCACCCCCTATAACTTTTTTATTTTTTCAGATAAAAAAAACAGATTTGTATGTTAGTAGATATATGACATAAATTAGGATTTATTGACGTATTCAATTGTGTTTGGTCTCTTCCTGTTTCACCGAAATGATTACATCTTTTGATTTTTAAAGGCACCCTCGGTATATTGCTACTTTATTCGATAAAAAATGACACTCTGAATAGAATGACGTATCATATGTCAACTTTTGACATTGTCGCTTAAAAACTAATCGTATTTTAAATTTCAATCCAGGATGCCATAGTGTTGTTAAAAACACTAAGTTTTAATCAAGGAGCCTTGGAAAAATAGTTTTGATCGTCTAATGGGTTTTGTGTCTTGTCTAGGCCGGTTAAAAGATGTACAAATCGTATTTTTAATCATAGATATGTCAATTTTTTTAAATGGAACAAGGGTGACTCATTAGCATATTTGGAAAAAGCATTTTTTTTATGATTATATTGATACCACACACTTGGTATTTCGAGTCAAATTGTCGTTATGAACCGCGTGTTACAATTACAATTAAACCATATGCAAAAATGTCAAATGTTGACATATGATATGTCATTCTATTCAGAGTGTCATTTTCTATCGAATAAAGTAGAAATATACGGAGGGTGCCGTTTAAAAATTAAAAGTTATAGTCATTTCCGGTGAAAGAGGAAGTGACCAAAAACAATTCAATGCGTCAATCAATCCTAATTAATGTCATATACTAATATACTAAATCTTTTTTTTATTTGAAAATATAAAAAAATTATGGGGATGAGCCACTTTTGGGACGCACCCGGTATAATAAAGACAGTACCAAGTTAAATAAATGTAGTTTTTATTTTATCCACTTCCTATCACCTTCTTTGCTTTAATGGAACAGATTTATGTTTTCTCTAATTTACGTAATAAGACTAACCAGAAAAAAAATTACAACAATCATATATTTTTTTCTCCCCCTGTCGCCGATTCTATTATATCTGTGGAATAGATCCTGTTTTGATTAATATTAGAGGTTGTAAATGTTTGACTAAAATCTTTGAATAAGAAGACTAAGGAAGGAGTATATCAAAAATCTTAGGTACACCGCGATGGGCCTCAAATATGGCCGACTTAAATTCCGGTTTATCAGTGTCTTTCTAATTTTATTTAAAAAATGTAAAACTATGATGTAGGGTAGACGTGGGGTAGACTCAATAATTTGTTGTTTTATTTTGCGTTGTGAATAAATGTTGGTAGTTATTAAAATTGTTATAAAAATATATAATTCTAATAAAAATAGATAAGTTATAATAAGTATTTATTAACACAAACATCCGATACGCTACTGAAGCAGGTAAGTCAAATTAACGTATCTAAATTCTTTGACATCTAATCTTTGACAAGTAATAAATAAAAGCTAAAATGCAAGAAAAATATATAATTTAGTTAATTTAAGTGAATTTCATAAATGATCGGTTTACTACACGTATGTATATTATATAGTCACTTACTAGAGCGAAAAGTTGTTCCATTATTTCCCCATTTTCCCCACAAAATCTGCATTCGCCGTTGTTTCTCAGTTTCAGCCTACTGAGGTGTTCGTTGAGGAGACAGTGTCCTGTTAGAAACCCCGTGACAATCCGAAGATTGTTTTTACTTAAATCAAGGAAAACCTTTGATTTTTCTCGGTCATAAGTTCTAAGGAACTTTTTCGTTTTTCTACCTTTATATAGCTATCAGTAGTAGAATAAATAATAAATAACATAAAATAAGCTCCATAAAGACTGACAAATCCACAAAATTTAAAATCAAATTCAAATGTGTCAAATGAATCGTCAAACAGAACTGTCAGGGATCCCCACCCTAGAGAGCTTTTATGGTGCCTTTTCCGCCCACCATGCATGAATACATGGATAGCATTATGCTCCTTCCTTAGTCTTCTTATTCAAAGACTAAAATGAATAATTTATTATTAATTTCAAAAATTACGCAATTTCGATTATAAAATTTCTTCTATAATGTGTATTTTATTATTTTTATCCTTTTTGGATTCTAAGACGTTTTTTCTAAACTTTTATTTAAAAAAAAACCTGTCCTAAATCTTAATAAAATATAAAAAAAATTAAATCCGATATATTTTTAATTTAATTATAGCTTCATTAAAATAAAAAAATTACCCGGCTATGATACGGCGAGTTCAGGTGTACTTGAGAAACGAAAAACAGTGTTGTGTTTCGCGTCAGAGTCGTCAGGGAACGACCGTTACGACAGACACAACCTATCTATCACTCGTGTTGCACTCGTTATAATCTAAAACAATAACACAACAATAACAAGACATTGTCTGACCGCATGTTCCAGCTATTTATGAATGAGATGCTCAGTCTATATTTTATTTTAAGTCTATGGTATGGCTTAACACGACAGGATCGGACTAACCCTTAGGTAGATTTCTGAACCATAACATATATATCCTTGCGCCACACCCGCTATACCCGACCCCTGAGAGCAACCCGAACAGTCTTAATAATAAATTATTAGAATTGGTTGTTTTGTATGTATTTATATTTATATTTTTTTTAGTTTTTTTTATATTTATATCTACTTTTAGGTCATGAAGTCAGACCCGAAGATATAGGTTTAGTTACTGTGAGAGGAGAAGACACAACTCAACCTTTCATGGTAGCTTTTCTTAAAGCTTCCACTAATGTGAAACCAAGGACTAGAAGAGAACTTAGGACAAGAGTGAAGAAATCTGATATAACCAACTTTTATCAACGAAGTAAGTAGGATAATTATTGATTCTCAGAATTAAGATATTTCTAGTACATCTTCTCTATTTTAATATGTTCTATGTTCTATTAGTCTAAGAGCTAGCAACATTTTCGAGAAAGTATTTTAAGAAAGTTGGCTCTTTGATATATCTTTTACTATGCTTTCCGACTACAAACCGAGGATTCAGAATTCGAGACCGGGGCAGGGTAAAAATTTTTTTATTTTATTTTCGTTTATCCCTTACGCTCCCGAAGCCTAAAATTTGATCCACTCCAAAATATACTGGAGAAACGACTATCCAAGTACTCGGGACTATAAAGTAAATTTATTGAAAACTACTCAAGGTCATTCTGGGGGATTTCAAGGTCATTCACAATTGTGCAGTTCGGGAGTGAAAATAAGTGTTCACAATTGTGACTTAAACATTTTATTCCGAAACGAAAAGCAAAAAACTCATTTATTATGAAACTTTAAAAAGCAATTTTTGTTTTTCGTAAAACAAAGATAAACATTACATTTTTCACACGTTGATTTCGCCGTCATTGATTGGCCACTGTTGGTAGCCATCGTATCTTTTATCGTTACAAGGCATGGTTGCTGGGTATTTTTTCTTCTTGGGTGGTGACTCATCACTCATTTCCTCTTTTTCTGTATCAATATCAGAGGCTGGATGCTCTTGAGGACCAGAAGCAATTAAATATTCCCCTAAAGATAGTCTAAATTCAAGCAGATCCATAGACTTTTTTTGTCCTTTGCTATCTTCTTTGTATTCCATCCAGGAATTAACAATTGCCATGTCAAACAGGTGAAGAATCACTTTTAATGTCCATTTCCTTGTCTTGAAAAAAGAACGATAGTACTCAATCATTTGATCACATACGTCAACACCACCCATTTTCTGGTTGTACATACCAACAACTTTGGGACACGGGACTTCCACATGTTTTTTCTCACTCTTATCCCATCTGCTAACTACTCCTTGTGGCTCAAATCCAAAGGCTGTAGATATCATGAGAACAGATTTATTGTCCATCCATTTTGTCACGCTAACTTTTCCATCGTTTCTAACTAATTCCTGTGAGTTTCCTCTTTTAAATTCTTTGTCTTTCAGAAAATTACATTTCTTCAATCTATTTGGCATGATGGTTCCGGTGCCATAAATTTCCAAAGAAATCAGCCTGTCAAACAAAGATTCAGTCGAAAAATATCGGTCAAAAAGAAGATAACTCTCTTTTGGTAGTGTCTGAGATAGGTGCAGGATAACCGAGGGACCAAGACCCAGGTCTTTGTTTTGGAAAGGCGTCAGTTTACCTTGATAAATTTCAAAGTCAAGAATTTTTCCTTCAGATGTTGTGAGAACAAAATTTTTAAGACCCACTGGTCTAGGTTTATTCCTCACATACTGTCTCACTGGACACCTTCCTAAGAATGGAATCATTTGTTCGTCAATTGAATACGAGGATCTAGGTTTCCTCTCCAGTAATCTACAACGGTTTCGAATCATGTCTATCATGGGTTGAAACTTCCATAGTCTATTCTCCTTTTGAATATCACCTGGAACTCTCAGAACATCCACAACGTGAAAATTAACTCTCAAAAGGTAAAACATATCACGCGGCATCACATCACTCACTAATTTAAATTTGAATTTACTGTTCCAATACATATGAATTCTAGGAAAGTGGACGCATCCCATGATGGCATGTAAACCAAAAAATTTTTTGATGTCACTATCAGAAACTGCTAAAACTCTTCCAGTTTTCTGTAAATAGTATTGAGATGTACATTTGGCGCCCAATGAGAAAAAATCGGCCCCCAAATAGTTTTGAAAATAGTGCCATGGACTCTGGGGACTGTTGGTACTATTAACTACCAATGGATCTTCTTTACTGGAAAATAAGCTCGGCTTCCACCCAGACTCAAGATACGCAAGAGGAACGTCGTCTTCGGAATCAGTCTCTTCTTCGTCGCTGGACTGTGTAGCCTGAGGAACAGCTATTTCCTCTTCCAAGACCTCGGTAACAGTTTCTTCTTCATCGGATTCCATCTCAACCTCCGAATCAATACTATCTAAGAGATCATACAAGGCATCTGGATCGTTTTCTAGTTTTTTTAATTCGATTTTACCTGAAATAGAAATGAGTTATGATAACACTCACAATTGTGAATATAAGGTTTCAATCCCCTCATGCACAATTGTGATATGCCAACAAAAACCTAACCTAGAACCGAATTGAAATCCAAAACCCACCCTACGATATGACAAGGGGATACTCCAATCTGTTTAAGTCAAACATCATGAGTTAAATACATTGAATCAATTGTTTTTTTGATAAAAATAAAATACTTACGTTTAGAAGTCATGGCGGCACAAAACGTAAATAAACAAATGGCAAAAACGCATGTCCACTGATCAATCAGCTGAAATTCCCGTTGGCGCACAATTTGTACTGACCTTCACGATTGTACGATACAGGAGCCGATTCAACCAGGCTTAATTTTCGCCTTTATGTAGCATGTAAATAAGGAGCTACAATTGTTACCACTGGGAGCGTAAGGGTTATATTCTGATAGTAAAGTATTAAATATTTGTTTTTTTTTAATCACCAGAATTGTTTAATACTTTACTATCAGAATATAAACGAAAATAAAATAAAAAAGTTTCTACCCTGCCCCGGTCTCGAACTCTGACTCCTAACTTGTTGGGCGGAACCACTACGCGCTCAGCTATGGAAAGTCGGTCGGTTTGTATTCAATACTAGGATTTAAGTGACTAATAAAATTATAGGATCTTCTTTCAGTGCGCAGTGGAGAACGCAACGTTTACCGGCAGCCAGACGGGTCGCATGCTGTTCCAGAGAGCATAGTAAACGATATATTAAAGAGCGAATTCTTAATTTAAGAATTTTCCTAAAAAGAGCTTTCTTAAAATACTGATTTTCGTGACGTTGCTAGCTCTCGTACTATATAGTTGTCTGCCTTTGGGTGTTGATTTCGTCGATATAACGCCACAGGGGGGAGTAATTTCTCCACCGTAAATACCGTAATTCATTAGTCATGATGGTATACTGCTGGAACTCGACAGAGAGGGGTCAAGTGCTTATGCTGATGAACTTACAGTAGTAGTTAACGGTTTTTAACTGCCTGTAATGTGTTAAATTATAGAGACAAGCTTTAATAAAATAGCCAAATGTTCCAAGAAATGTGGAGTAAATGTCAAACCAGGGAAAACTAAGGTAATGTTATTTACCATCAAAACTAAAATGCCTGTTTTCGCGCCACCAAGACTCAACGGTACTATTATCCATGGCCAAGTATTTAGCTACAATTCTTGATCCGAAACTAAACTGACCAATGAACGTAGAAGAAAGAATAAAAGAAGGCCTACGTTGCTCTCTACACGTGTAAAGAACGATAGATAAGAAGTGGACACTCCAACCGGGTATGGCTAAATGGATATACTGCGACCAATCCTCACATATGGATCCCTAGTATGGTGGCCAGCTTTGGAGAAGACAACCTATACCAAACTTGGAGAGATACGGAGGAGCGCGTGCGTGTGCATTGTAGAATGTAGAATGAGTGGGAGGGGGGTTAATCACCGCGACCTTACAGATCTATTGTGCTATTGTGTCCCCCTTACTTGAGTTATAACTAATCATACAGTCCCAGGGCCCTGACAAAAGCCTGTATCTAGACGGTTTTACAGAGGTGCGTGTGCAATACTGGAGCATTAACATCGACGCCCAGAGATGCTTTAAACATGCTCCTCCAGTACTTCCTTACATTAGATCTTCATAAAAATAATAATATATATCTGAAAAATATGGATATGATAAAAAAATCTGACCCCTAGTGACCCCAGTCAGGCTCAGAGAAACTGGTTGCTGGACGGAGAAATCCTATGATCAAAGCAGTACTCTTGAAAGATTACCGAAGGATATTATTGCTGGACTATCAGATTATTTGACACCTAGGTTGGAACTTGGCAAGAACTCCAACCAGAAAGGATTGGGAGACTAACAAACTATTGAAGAAATTCGACATTGCGCTATTTACTGATGGATCCAAGATGGATTCAGGCGTAAGTGCTGGAGTTTTCTCTGTATAATATTTGATAAAGCGATGTGACCATGTGTGTGGTGAGCACCCTGTATAATATTTGATAAAATATTGTAAATATTTAAATGCGTGAAAGATTTTCTAAAAAATGAGTAGCAACATAAATTTATGATGAAAAAAATGTATTGATGCTGAAAAGTATTTATACCTAATTATTTTTCGATCTGCCAATGTACTTTTTGATATAAAATTGTAATCATTTCAAAAACGACTAAATTGAGGTTATATGACATTATTGAAACTAAAAGAATTTCGAACTTCCATTGTCTTTATTTATTTTAATTAACACAACGTTTCGGTCAGAATGATTATTATCGTTATTAAGTGTAAACTGGCATTAGTAGTAATATGACATTATGTATAATTTTATGTAGAATTCAAAAATCAGAACATACAGAGCGTGTTCTATTTAAAATAAGTAAATTAAAAAATATTTTAAAAATAAAGTACTTACCTCCTGGAAATAACACCTTAACTTGAAACATTCAAATTTGTATCACTAATATTTTTTTTTATTTCAATTGCAGGTATAGAACAGGATACAAGAAGTACGTGTAAAATCAACACACTGTATATTAGCTTTAAGGATCTCAAATGGCAGGTAATAATGTACTTTTAATGTATTTATATTTTTAACACATCTTGCGTTCAAAAGAGCCTAAAGATGCTCTTTAGATGCTTTTTTCTTAGTACTATGAAATCTTTCAAAAGTTGTATTTTGAATATAAATGGTTTTATTAAATAAAAAACGCCATTTTCTCTATTATTTTTATTAAGCCTAGTATTTAAGATTGTTTCGATCGTAATCTAAATTCATAGTGTGAAACATTAAATAATACTTTTTTTTATATACAGGGTTGTTCACCACATACGACACGGAATATTGTAGCTAAACGATTAGATTTTTGCAAATTGTAAGGTTTGGGTTCGTTGAAGGACTATTAGAGCTACAATTTAAAAATATTTTTACAAGATACAGAGTGTCCCAAATAAATAAAAAATATCAAAGTCGTATTTTTTTAAATGGAATACCCTGTATATTATTACATTTTTAATTTCTACGATTAAAATAAAGGTAAATTTAATTAAGGTTTATTGCACTTAAACCTTACCGTTTTTGAAATATTTTCAATTTTGTGAAATTGCAGTATAAATTTTAAGGCTTCATTTCTCCGAGGGTATCAAAGTTTTTAATACTAAATATTTACTGAAGTTTATTTATTGATCAGTTATTGTGTTGCAATAATAAAGAATTTACTCCCTTATACAGAGTGTCTAAATATTTATTTTAATTAATTATTAGCTTTAAACGGCAATAACTTGTTTAATTTAAATAGAACATCCTGTATATTTTATAAGAATCAGATGCACAATTTAATTGACTATCAAATTGTATTATACCATTTTTTACCTATCTCTTCAAGTTTCCGTAGAAAATGCATTTTCTTGTAATTTAGAACTCATTTATCAATATACCCATGGAATACTGACATTTTAAATTATTTTTAAAGATGTACCAAATTTTTAACGAGTACAGATACTAATATTGTCGATATAGTTCGTTTATTTCATTAAAAAATAAAAAAACTGTTTAAATGTTTGTTAAAGAGGACCAATTAATATGATTCCAGTATTCAAACTACATTAATTGACTGTTTGCGTTGATCAATAAAAATTGCTTCAAATACTAAAAAACTGAATTATGTATGTGTATTAGACAGTGCGGTAAAAAACTAACACCTTAAAAATGTTATTACATTATTTGACAAATGCTTATTTATAACAACAGAGACGTTCATTTACATAACTTATTATTATATTCATTTCTGATTCAAATCCACATTTATTTAGAATAATTTATTAACGAACACAATTAAGTATGTAATTAATTATTATTTGGGCGGAAATAATGGTGGTATATTTAATTAAAGGTATACTCTTTTATAAAGATTTAAATAGTTTTCTTTTTGCATACAAATGGGCTAGTAATATTATCGTTTTACTGAAAACGATGATATTACTAGACTGTACATTTTGTACATTTGTTGTTTTAAAAACAATCTAAAATGTCAATATTCCATGGGTATATTGATAAATGAGGTCTAAATTATAAGAAAATGCATTTTCTATGAAAACTTGAAGGAATAGGTAAAAAGTGGTATAATACAATTTGATAGACAATTAAATTGTGCATCTGATTCTCATAAAATATACAGGGTGTTCCATTTAGATTAAACAAGTTATTGCCGTTTAAAGCTAGTAATTATTTAAAATAATTTTTTAGACACTCTGTATAAGGTAGTATAATTTTTATTAATGCAACACAATAACTGATCAATAAATAAACTTCAGTAAATATTTAGTATTAAAAACTTTGATACCCTCGGGGAAATGAAGCCTTAAAATTTATACTGCAATTTCACAAAATTGAAAATTTTCAAATTTTTTTCAAAAACGGTAAGGTTTAAGTGTAATAAACCTTAATCAAATTTGCCTTTATTTTAATCGTAGAAACTAAAAATGCAATAATATACAGGGTGTTTCATTTAATAAAATACAACTTTGATATTTTTTATTTATTTGGGACACTCTGTATCTTGCAAAAATATTTTTAAATTGTAGCTCTAATAGTCCTTCAACGAACTCAAAACTTACAATTTGTAAAAATCTAATCGTTTGGCTACAATACTCCGTGTCCATGTATGTGGTGAACAACCCTGTATAATATGTATATATAATTGGGCTAAAACTAATAGGGAACATTCATTCTAATTCAGTCTTTGGAGGCTCGTGCACTGTCTCAAGAATGACTATCCATACTTTAAAATAATCTGAGTTTTTCACATTTTTACACTATTTTTTCCCGAAAAAAATTACCCCCTCTCTCCTCCACGTGAGATTTAGTGAGTTTCGGCTTGACTCCCTCTCCTCCATGAATCCCTCTCTCACGTAGTTAATGGACATCTCCTTATTTACATTCGCCTTTTTAAAATCTGTCGAAATTTAATCCACTTTTAAAATTCTTAAAATCCCACTTCTGACACAATTTTTACTCATTATCAGCATTATTTATTCGCTCCTAATTTAAGACGGCTTTAATATTTATGTTCTAATATGTAATTATGGTAATTTCAGGACTGGATCATAGCTCCTGAAGGATACGCAGCCTACTTTTGTCACGGAGAGTGCAATTTCCCGCTGAACGCTCACATGAACGCCTCCAACCACGCGATCGTCCAGACTTTGGTCCACCTGATGACACCTACCAAATTCCCGAAATCCTGTTGCGCACCTACAAAATTATCACCCATTTCGGTGCTGTACTTCTTGGACGATCACAACGTTGTCCTAAAGAAATATAGGCAGATGGTGGTGAAAACTTGTGGCTGTCGATAAGTCTTAACTGTATACAATTGCAGGTGTTCTTATTTATAGTACCATTTGATCAAATCCAGACAGTAGTGTCAGTATTTTTATGATTAATATTTTCAGCGATTTTAAATACTTATAGATTTTTTTTATTTTTTTTTCTGATATAACTTCTCATTTTAGTAATTTCGACGGTAATTCGTTGATGATTTATTTTTTAATTGTAACACAATATTTTGTTTATTTTTATTCTCATTATTCTGCTTTCAAAAGACTTTATTCTCTAACATTATACTTTATAACGAAAAAAATACATAAAGAATTTTTTCTCTAACACTTTATAGTTATTTTACATTTATCTAATGTTATACAGGGTGGTCCGAATTGTATTTGGGAAACTTCGGCACCATATTCTTCAGATAATAATAAGCAAACAAGTTTGTATAAATGTATGTCGTAAAATGTTTAGTTTCGGAGATACAGGGTGTAGAAGTTTCATTTTTATTTCGTTTTTTCGAAATAATTTCGGAACTAACGTCAAAATTTGGAGGAAAATTTGTGTCTGGGTGCTTTTTGGCATGAGAAAATGAGGTGATAGTGGCATAAAAATCGAATTTTTCATGTCAAAAATTATCCAGACATTTTCATCCAAATGGACGTACGTTACTTTAATTCGGACCACTCTGTATACGATGAATACATAGATAAGTGTTAAAAACTGAAATTTTCATTAAATTGGTGATCATTTTTTGATCATATGGTACCTATTTCAAAAATTGATATTCCCAATATAGTGAGAGAAAAGAATATATTAAAAAATATATTAAATATAACAAATTTTAAGGAAAACATCCATAGGAAAAATAGCATACCATATACCATGTAACCGAATAAAAACCGCGTCACGCTCCTAGTAGAGATGACATTTCTGTTCGCGCTTTATTACCTCTATAACTAAAATTCTTGACAGTGGCAGATCAGATTTTTGAAGTTATTGTTATAATGATAATAAAGCAAGTAGATGTTAGATGTTGGTTAGATATAAATGTACTTATTTGATTTATAGAGTTTTAAAGTTTAAAAAACAATTTAAAAACGGGCAAATCAATTATGACTCATCATGATTATCTGTCACTGATCTTGTCAATATAGATCGTTCTGATATGTTATTCCTACGCCCATTATGATGCCATTTTTATTGGTTTGCATTTTATTTTATTGTAAATAATCATCCGAATGTAGTACAACCGATTTTATTTGTATCTCTAAATCTCTAATATAGTAGACAAAAATGAACAAATTATATATGACAAATGATAGGTACACATATTACGTACAATCAGTGATGGGCGGTGGGTAAATACCCAATGAAGTATAATGGGTATAATAAACAAGTTTGGGTATATACCTAGAAGGTGTAGGGTATATAACCATTGAGGGTATATTTTGCCGGGAAACCCTCCTATAAAATTCGATTATTCACCTAACCTAAATCGAACTGCCTGTGTTGTGCTGTATTTTCGATACAATTAAGGCTATTATCGTTGCTATTAGGCTATTGTACAGTCTTTGAGGGGCAAGAGAAGTAAGGTAACAAAATTTTTTGTTAAAATTTGTGATATAACGTCAAATTTACAAGTCAACCATACTTGAGTATACCGGGTGCGTCTCAAAAGTGGCTTACCCCTATAACTTTTTTATTTTTTTAGTTAAAAAAACGAGATTTGGTATGTTAGTATATGACATAAATTAGGACTGATTGACGTATTCAATTGTTTTCGGTCACTTTCTGTTTCACCGGAAATGACTACAACTTTTGATTTTTAAACGGAACCTTCGGTATTTTTTTACTTTATTCGATAGAAAATAACACTCTGAATAGAATGACATATCATATGTCAACTTTTGACATTTTCGCATATAGTTTATTTAAAATTATAACTTGCGGTTCGTAACGAAAATTTGACTCGAAATACCAAGTGTGTGGTATCAAATTATCCGTAAAAAATGCTTATTCCAAATATGCTAATGAGCCACCCGCGTTCCGTTTGAAAAAAATGAGATATGATTAAAAATACGATTTGAGCATTTTCTAACTGGCCATGACAAGACACCAAAAACATTAGACGATCAAATCTATTTTCCAAGGCTCCTTGATTAAGAATTAGTGTTTTTAACATAGCCATGGCACTCTAGATTGAATTTTAAAATACGATTTTTTATTAAGCTAGAACGTCAAAAGTTGACATATGATATGTCATTCTACTCGGAATGTCATTTTCTATAGGATAAAGTAAAAAATACCGAAGGTGCCATTTAAAAATCAAAAGTTGTAGTCATTTCCGGTGAAACGGGAAGTGACCAAAAACAACTGAATACGTCAATCAATCCTAATTTATGTCATATACTAACATACCAAATCTTGTTTTTTTATCTGAAAAAATAAAAAAGTTATAGGGATGAGCCACTTTTGAGACGCACCCGGTATACTGGTTTTAGAGTATTTACCCAAATTCTGTGTACCCTGTATTTACCCATTGGGTATATACCGGATACAAAACATCGGGTATATCTACCCAAATTTTATTTTAATATACTGGCTATCTCTGCGTACAGTATATGCTTTGGTAGAATACCAAATAAGACAAATAAAACAAAAATCTGTTGGTATGTTTTATATCATATTTTTGGAAAAATTGAAGAAATTGAACTGAATTATAAATTACAGTATATAACTTTATGTGATTTTTGTAACCTGTTGATATTATTGTAATTTTGTATAATTAAATGTAAACTAGGTATAATAAACTAATATAAGTGTGTTTACAAACTCAAAGTAAAATTGCTATTTATCGAAAGAATCATTATCAATTTTCTTAAAATTACAAATTAATATCTCAAAAAAATCTAAATTATGAAAAATCGACTATAGACAAAATAATGCTGGCAGTGACAATTATCAATAATTTTGCAATAATTTCAAAATTACATTTCAACAAATTTCGATTTGATTTTAATATTATATGATTATATTAATCATCTATTCTGAATTAGAGTTGATGTTTTATTGTGTCACGATCGATGTGACAAATTTTCAGATATATTAGTGTTGTAGAATCTATATATTTTTCTTTTAATATCAAAGTTAACACGATCCAAGCGCTTATATTGACTTTTTCTATGTTTTTATGTAAGTTTGTGTTATGTTACTTAATGTCATTATAAGTATTATCCTTGTATTATATATTAAAGCATGTTATTGTGGCCATAAGATTTAAGACTTAAAAATAAATGATTTTCAAACATGTATTATGTGTTTTGTGTTATTGTGTAACAAACAATATAATATATGACTCTTCCATGACGGTGACATTAAAAAAACAATAATCTCTATTTCATAGGTGTGTTAATAAAGACCTAAAGCAAAGGCTTCCCCATTTATTTATACACCAAAAGATCTGGCCTGCGGATTCGGTCTGCGGATCCGGTCTTCGGATGAAATTTTTGCGTTTCTGGGACAAGGCAAAGTCTCTGGCGGACTTTAGATTTGTCTAAAAAAACGGCCATTTTTTTCTAAGGCTTCTTGATTAAAAATTAATATTTTTAACACAGCCATGACATTCTAGATTGAAATCTAAAATACGATTTTTAAGCGAAAATGTCAAAAGTTGTCATATGATATGCCATTCTATTCAGAGTGTCATTTTCTATCGAATAAAGTAAAAATATACCGAGGGTGCCATTTAAAAATCACAAATTGTTGTCATTTCCGGTGAAACAGAAAGTGTTGAAAAAACAATTGAATATGTCAATCAATCCTAATTTATGTCATATACTAACATGCCAAAAGTTGTAGGGGTGAGCCACTTTTGAGACGCACCCGGTATATCTTAAATTCAAGACGGAATACAACAATTTCGGAGAAATATTTAACTATTTACGCCATCATTAATTTATTATAAATTTAATGAACCACTAATTATTGTACTCGACTACGAAGTACAATAATAGTCCTGATACATTTAATAATTGATCTTAAGTCTATGTAGTAAATTATATTAATCATTAACGATGAATAAAAAATCAACTTTTTTTAGTTTGTCCCACAAAGCAACCAATGTGTTACAAGCTGTTTATTACACGAATCCCGGTAATACAAAAAATAATAAAAATATATAGTAGTAGGTCTCTCTTAACACAATATAATATGCGTTTTCGGTTGTTGTTCATTCTTAAAAACACAGGAGAACGCCGAATCTATTAAATATGAGTGATTAAGACATTTAAAAATTTTAAAAGATCGCAAGCCAGGTCGGATCTGCAGGCATGTATGGAGGCTATACGTTTTTAATGCTCAAATTGGTGCAAATAGTTGCTGTCTTCTTCAAAAGCAAATATCTCTAACAAAGAAGAGCAATTGAGATAAAACAAAAATCTAACTATCGAAAAAGATGCACTTCGATGATAAAATGGTTATTAAAATCCTAACTTTGTTAAACCCATGCACAGGGTGTTTCAAATTTTTGATAAAATAATAATATTTTGTTTTCCCTTGTATAATACGCAGATGGGGACTTTTGGGGACAAATTTTAATCTAAAAAGAGGATAAAAAACCAAATAATTTAACTAAACATTTCTTAAAAAATCTGCAAAATCGACTCACTAGATTCAGTTGGATTTAGCACAGGATTTAGTTTCTGTAATATCTTGGAATAATGGCGAATGCGCCAGGGACCCAGCGTATTTCATTAAAAAGCACATTACCAGTTATTTTTGGTATACTATGTAATTATTTCAATAAAGATCAGACGTTCTTAAAATAGAGTGACGTAATCATAGTAAATGACATTATTAAATAATACTTTTAGACTATATTTATTTCGTTTTTTTATGACAGCTTTTAATAGATTAAAATAAAACTAACACCAGCAACTAAAATATTTATTTCTATGACATGTATTCATTTGATAATTATAAAATTACAGATAATAAAGGCACTCTAACGAAAGCAAACTGAAAGAGTATTTTTTATTGCTGTAATTTCACATTTAATTTTTTTTATCATTTGTATTTCCCGCGTTAAAGCGCCCAAACGATTTTTACTTTAAATAGTTCTTTGACCTGCCGGAGAGGCGCCGTAGTCGCCAAAGTGGATTCGACTTTATGACAAGACGTGAAATAATTTGTCAAAGCTAGAAAAAAGTGAATATTTGCGTAAAAAGTGTGCTAAAATGTTTTGAAAGTTTGTTTAAAACCTTTAGGGATAATCGAGAATCGTTAATTAAAGGATAGCGGCCGGGCACTGCATCCTGACTTGCGTAGGTTGACTAGGCAATGATATTGTCGAAGGGCAGAGTCGTATTTTTGTGCAAATTTAACGTGAATGTGGAGTGCAATTTCAAAGATTTTTACGAAAAACTACTCTAACGAGGTTACGAGTGGCGAAGAACCGCCCGATGAAATGGAACGTAGGACTTATTCAGAGACTGACGACGGCTTCAATACCAAACAAGTAAGTGAATATTTTAGACTTTCCGTAGGTCCTTTTCGTAGTCCAGCAAACAACAATACCGAAATATCCTATTTCACTGACCACTTCAGTATTATAAACACAATATTTAGTTTTATAACAAGCCAAAAGCAACGCTTGATGTGATGAATCAGCTGTCAAACTGTCCATTTACAAGTCTGTGAGGAACATCTCTCTATCAAGACAAACACAGGAAAGTATGCCAATGAATTTTTTAATATAGCAGTATAGCTGAACTAATTGGGGTTAAAGGTTTCAGGGACTATCGTTACAGATTCATTGTACTATTTTTATACTCGGTCAGGCCTGCAGAAATATTTCAAATGTATATAATTGCAGTCTAGCTGAAGATATAAGTACCTGTTTTACCATTTGGTTGAGCTACCTACTTATAAAAAGCAATCATACACCCATTCTTATTTTTAGAATTTTTATTAGGATGATTCGCCTACACTTTTTCTTACAAGGTAATCGGTTCCACCAATTCGATAAATATATATTGCAGATTGCAGACTTAAAATTGTTTACGTACCTCCACTTTACACTTACCTAAAATATTTATTTTGCAGGCAACCTTATTTTGTATTCTTAATTTGTGATATTTCTATATATATATATATATATATATATATATATATATATATATATATATATATATATATATATATATATATATATATATATAACAATAAATGGATAGATGTATAAGCACTATTACCACAGACCACAGCTATTACTAGAGTTTTAAATACACCTTTGAAATAAAACAACTGAAATAATATTTTCTTTAGGCACTAAAGCACTAAATATTTCTTATAATAAACAAATAATAATGTATATGGATGTCTTAAACCATCATAAACAAGACAGATGAACCAATGTATTGACAAGCTTCATTCTGGTTTGTTTACCTTTTAACTTCGTATTTTTCGGTTATCCATTTTAAGCCAGATTTTAAGATATTTAAATCCTTTTAAAGTTTCTTTTTTGAGGGATGCATAATTTTCCTTCAAAAGTAATAAATTTAAAAATACATAAGTGACACCAATTTTATTTTTGTATTGGGTTTTATCAGAGCTTAATACCCTAATAAATATAAATAATGTAGTTAATTATGTTATGAGAATGTTGTCAGTTTTAATATCTGGTGTTATGTTGATTTATCTTAAATTTATTTATTTTTGTTTTTATTGTATCAACTGGTATACAAATT